TCCATAATACATCAACGCACCAACGCCTAACACAGAAGCTCCAGCCAGCGCATAGGTACCGTAAATGTAAGCTGGAAATAGAATTCAATACTTTTGCGGTTCAATGGTTAATGTGCAGAATGCAAAAAAATGATGGTGTCGATTTGCAACTCACGTGCTCCAGTAGTTGGTCCTAAGAGTCGTTCCTTCAACGTTTTCCCAGTACGCACACCAATTCCCTACAAATTGATAACCGTTACAAAGGAGCTTCTTCGTGTGGAAGTTACAAACCAAGTAAACAACTCACAGCTTGTTCACCGAATCGGTGAATACCGGTCGCTCCGCTACGTCCCATACGGGCCGTCTTCAGGACCGACTTGGATAACTGACGAACACTCGGCGAAATCAGAAGCGATGGCCGTAGCGCGAATCGCGAGAGCATTGTGACGGAGGGAAGAATTGGAATGGAGTTACCTTCTCTACAACGACCGAGATACAGGGATGTGATAGGTACAAATGCAGCAACGCATCGCACGTTGAAAACAAATGGAGATCCTCATCAACACGCACAAGATTTCGCACTGAATGATGAGCGTGGAATTTGCCCATGCCTTTCAAGTATGGAAATGATGAGCTTTAAGGAACCATGAAAATACATAAATCGATCGAGTATTAATGAATAGCACAAGTTTGCAATCATTTTCACTGTTGTTCACAACTATTATTTCGGGGTGCCTGCGCGCACAGCAGTTCAATGACCACTGTAAGACTTTACACTAAACAAAAATCGCAGAACATGTAAATCGATGACTAAGTGACCAAATGAGAAATAAGGAACGACGATTGGAATAGAGAAAAATCGATTAGCTAGCTATCCCCAATTCCTTTCATTCTATGTGGCATCAGCATGGCCGTTCATTAGCGGTCCTTTCTATCGAAGAAAAACCTCCAACTTCGGAATGTAACAACATCGCCTTCCCTTTCTTTTACAGTATTTGGCTCAAACTTATCCGTGCCGGTCATCCATGAACCAGACGTAATTAGCCCTACGCAATGCACCCAACGGAGGCTGAATTAAGAAATAGCAAAATGTCTCGTACGTACGAAGAAAAAACTGATCAGCACTGATGTAAAGACTTTAATAAAGTAAAATAACAAAAATGCAGAGAAGATGGTTGAATAGGAAGAACTACCCAAGGACCGATTTGGAGTGTTAACGCCACAGCTTCGCAAGTGACCATCGATCAACGAATGATGCAAACTCGCACAGCTGCCGCGCCCCGTTTCGAAATCCTTGACCACGTGAGAACTGACATCATCGGTGAACTTTGTCTCAATCAAAGGGCACAACTTTCATAGTGGAGCTTTATGAACAGAAATGAGGTGTTTACCAGGTAAGAAGTATTAAATCTAAAACCGCGCCTTGCCCTGGAATGCTTCGCGTCAATACAGGTAAAAGACGTCAGAAATCATAGAAATAAGAAACCGCAAAAATTCCCTTGCCTCCAGTCGATTATTCTTTTTCGAGTACTAAAACCTCCTATGCACAACACGATGAAAAGTCCAAAGCGTCCAGTCCCCAGAGCTATTTCGATGGAGTCTTCCTTGGGGAATGAACTTGAAGACAAAATCGATGCTGAGCGATTAAACTGATGCTTTGAAACCATCTGCATGCCCACTCTATGTAGTATATTATCACTTATTGGCGGGCCTGTTTGTCGGTATGTCGATGTGTTTGCTTATCATTTTGTTAAGTGCATGGGTGTGATAAGGAAACTAGGAATGAATACTTCAGAATTAGGAGCTACCTGCCAGTGAAGTTCAATATATTGTAGTTTTTGTACTGAACGACCAGCAACACAATATTCACAGGCACCCATTAACCATATCCCGTAGCTACTCCCAAAGGTCAGTTTGCAACTACTTGAGTATTCTTTCATGGTCTTGCTCAGGATGTAAGATGATTAGAGGACGTCGCCAAATCAACTTCAAATCCCAAGGACAAGGGGGTCTAAAGATTAGCATTGGAGGGGAGAGGGGTGTCCCCCAACAGGCCCACCGCGCGGCGAAGCAAGAGACGCAGATGCGGCAAAGAGACGAGTTGCAGCGCGTGCTGTGCGATATGAGACGTAGTATGGTACACTCTCTTTAAGCTGACGCCTAAGCTGATGTCAGAGTCCGCGATCGTCGCACGTTTCGCGATTTTCGCGAAACCTGCGATGGATCACAGGAGTTGGAAGTGCCCGATGAATACTGCGAGGTGTTGTTTAATCCTGCTGCGAATTCTGCTTGGCAGTAAAGATTGGAAGACGAATGTTTGTGGTTCTACTTGTTTCATGTTCAATGTCTATTAGTTCATTGAAATGCTCTTGAATCGTTCCTATTTTTTTCAGGAATCAAACCAAACCAATCACAAAAATTGCAAGCCCCAATGAACAAATGAAGCAAGTTCATTAAACCATAACCATCAAGCAGAAGTGACGGCGGGATTGGAAATCACCTTGCAGTATTGATGGGGCACTGTGATTTCCGTGACCCGTCGTGTGATTCGCGAAAATCGCGCAAATCGCAAATCGCAAAAATCAGCGAAATCTGCGACGGATCGCACGACTTTGACCTGACGCCTAACCGCTACAGTATGCGCTGCGACTCGTCCCTTTGCCGCGTCTGCGTCTCTTGCTTCGCCGCGCGGTGGGCCTGTTGGGGGACACCCGAGGGGCGAGGAGAACTCCAGAGTGGGTGAAACGTGCCAGACTTGAATGTGTGAGATCACAGATGAGTCGCTGTTAAGGCAAGAGAGCGCTGGTCGAAGTATCAAATTGAGCAGGTTCTAAAGACCGAGAAGAAGGTCGTAGACGAGGTTGTATTTGAAAGAGCACATTTGGGAGAGAAGCACACTAAAAAAGGGGAGCACCAAGGCTGTCAAAGGCAGAAGTAACTATGATTGAAATCTGAGTACAAATTGCAAGCATGATTCCCACTAAACGACTACAGCCTTTTTGGAACTTTTTAAAACGAGCGCAAATGAAACATAGTAGCAATGCTTGAACGATGAAGTGCGCACTTGCCTACAACCGCACCGCAACCGCACGCAGCACAGTCTGCGTCGAAGAATGATATATCCGATAACAATATTTCAAGTATTGGTGTAGAACAACACTTGATAAGAACTGTTAATGTCGCAATCTTACAAGAATTTGCAATCTTTATTCTATTCGAAGTATGTACACGCAAAACAACTAACAGGCTACTGAACATCGACTGAAATGAAAATACAACTTAACTTAGTAAAAGTTTGATTTTGAATGAGTGGACAAAGTAGGTGTCGTTATTGACTACAACGCATTGCCACCTCGACATGCTGGACTCGGATACGGCTTCTGACCAACCCATTTGCTCGGTGGGATTGCATCAATCCTAAGAGCATGTACTGGACCCGCTAATTCATCGGATAGGCAAGAATTTACCATGCGGTGTCGCTTAAATGACGTATTAATAATAGACATTGAAGGAAAGAAAACATATAAATTCACATAGAAAAACGCATTCAAATTTCAAACTATTAGAGGAAGCAGAAATTAGATTTTGAAAAAAAGCAGGAATTAGACTTTTTGGTTTTGATTTGATCTTTCTTTTTGATCTCTATTATGATGTAGTCTGAAAGCACACCATGTGTTCTACATCGTGATATACAACCTTGTCATTGGTTCACTACGGAGCTAACACGCGAGCAAATGAGATTGCTCATGCCATGAGAACAGGTTGAGCTCAAAACCGTATGCTGCTGCATCTGCTAGTGTAATCAACAGAGCCTAGAGTGGAGGCACGGACGATGGTACAAAAGAATGGTTGGTCAACACTTACTACTGTTGTTTCTTTCGTGTTGTTAATCGATTCATGTGTTTAAGTTGAAAACGGTGGGTAATTTTCGCAACCCACAATAATGTATATGTATACCGAGCACATTCTGCTCTATCACACTTCTACTCAGCATGCGCCAAAAAAAAAATGTCTCACAATCAGAATTAGCGTAAGTTTTCCACTCTTTCACATCTTCAACTTCTAGAGTGAAGATATACCAGAAGGACAATCAAAGCAAGAATAGTTGAAATACTTTCGTACTCCAAGTTCCCTTGTAGAGCATCCATCAGCCAGCGATACAGACTTTGAGAAGGGGAGCGGTACTCATCGTTCATAGCTAGTAACGTCGTGGAAGAGTAGCGAAATGCTATGTTCTTGAGAGTAAACCGACGTGTTTTATCGAATTTCAAACATGACCGTAAAACACACGATATCGCAAGTTGCTGCCTAAAAGTGCTTCTCCAAAGTCAAGTCTAGTTGCTCCTCTCTCAAGGAATAGGTTTTCCCCACATCTGTCGCGTAATGGCCGATGGTCAGACTTTGTTTTCTTTCGAATTAATCGATTTGCTTGCCAAAAAAACAGGATGGGGGGGGGGGGGGGGGGGGGGGGGGGGGGGGGGGGGGGGGGGGGGGGGGGGGGGGGGGGGGGGGGGGGGGGGGGGGGGGGGGGGGGGGGGGGGGGGGGGGGGGGGGGGGGGGGGGGGGGGGGGGGGGGGGGGGGGGGGGGGGGGGGGGGGGGGGGGGGGGGGGGGGGTCACCGCCGACCACGAAACACCGGCGCCATCAGCTTCGTAAATCTCCCGTCGCTCGCATCGCTTGAGCGATCCGTCGCTCCTGCAATTGGTGCAAAATCGCTCCAATTGCAAAGTCTGACATCGGCCAATAGTCTTTACTTGAGAGATTCAGGAAGGACGTGTATGGAATCTTCTCCTTCCCCTCCTTTTTGAATTGTAGGTACCAATGTGGAACGTACGGGATCTACTGACTTTATCTGCGTCTATAGCCATTTACTCTTTATTTATAGCAACTATTCATTTACTTTCACAAGCTAAGAATTTGAGCTATTTACCTGAAGAACAGGACATCCTTCGAATTTGTCACTCACAATCTGAACTCGAAAATGTTTCTCGGACCCTTTAGGCACGTTGTGCATGTAACTCTCGCATACAATTTCAAGATGAGACGGCTGAAAATGGATTCCATGTATTCATGAACCAGGATAATCGCGTTTGGAAGTTTTTGTTCGATACTTTGTTGACAAAAGGAACGCCAAACGCTTTTTTATTTCTCACTATAGAACTCTGACAAGAGGCATATGCCCTTCCGTTTTCCCTAACAAGAAAAACGAGGCTGGGGAACTGAGCCAAATAAAAACCCTCCTTCGGAGCTCGAACCAATCCTTTTCTCTAATCAAAAAAGAAGAGCTGCAGGACCATACTTCTACTCATTTTTTAAATTAAAGTTCCGTTATAGTAACGATCTCCCCGCCAAGCTTTCCTCAAAACATTTCCTCTTTAACACCAAGGTTAGCGCGCACGTTGTAAATTAATATCCTCATAGATTCAGCCCATAACTATCACAACAAAAAATGAGAAAAGTGCAGGAAAGAGTAAGAAGCAAACCGCGAAACACTCCTCCAATTTTTTGCGTATTATCGCGGCTACAGGACCCTCTGCTGTTGAGGTACTACACATCGCCCTCATAGAACGAAGCATAGGTGTACCAACACTAGAACGAGAAAAAAAATCGTTGGTGATTATTCTACTTTTCAGATATGCAAACAGTATACTGTAACTCCTTATTACGAAACACACAAATATGAACAATCTTGTTATTTCGGCATGTGGTATAACAATCAACGAACCAAAAATAACAAGTACGATAAACGATAAATTTAACGGAATCTGTGGAAAACAGTGGTGTTCTTTCTCTTCCAGTTCTTTGCTTGGGAACCTCCACGAGTGGCAGAATATCGCCATCCCTTTCCAAGACCTCGTGATTTCTTGCCGGCCGACGTGAGTCCACGAAGTTCGCGATGCTTGTGCACGGGTTTCGTGATCCATTGGGTGTCAGGATTGCGCCTAATCGCCTTGTGGAATGGATCAATCATTATGACCTCGTAGAATTTGTACGTGGAGTCTTCTCCCACCCAGTATGAATTCAGAACTCGGAGTGACCCGAGACGACGACCAGCACGATCCTGCAACACGATGATATAAACAAATGCTTCAAGTTCAAATACGTGTTAACCATTACGACGTAATCTCTAAAAATGTGTAAATATACTTGAAATCTGGAAAAAAAGCAGACAAAGAAAATTGTTATTGAAATAAAAGTAAAATAAGCTACAGAATGTGATATGCTTGTACAGAAAGCGACTATTTCCGCTTTTCGCAGCGCGAACGTTTTCACCTGCAGGAGCCCCAGATTCACACCTTATATGAATGGGACCTTGGGCCGTGCTGAGAAAAGTGGAAAGTCGCTTTCTGTTTTAGGAAACCACATCCGCTACTCAAGACTAGCTAGCCGCCAACTACATGACTGATGAATTCCTCAAGTGTAAATCAGCATTACTTTTTTCGGCGACATTGGTTTTGACAAATTTTTCAAATGTTGCCCTAGACAAAGTTTTGACACGTGCGAAATATGAATGCAGTAACCTGTAAAGAAAAGAATACACATGCACAAAATTCACCAGCACATTGTTGTTTTTCTCCACAAACCTACACCACCGATTTATACACCAACTTTAATATTAACTTTATGGAAAAACAATAATGAAGAAGAAAAAACAGTCGCTGGGGTACTAGTGGATGAGCGGGCATCAGGGTGGGAGAGTTCGTCCCGGTAACACTAATCCAGCTTTTCACAGGGAAAGGAAGGTCGGGGTGAGAGTTGAATCATTTTGATGTACAAGCGTGTTAGCAAAACGAAATCGTTTGTTTTGACTTGTTTTTGTTTGTTAACTGCTGTTTTTGGCCGCAGTTCGCCTTGCGAATGTTTCACAAGAATGCTGGGTTGTGAACAAAACTTTCGCCCCAGGCGGGACTAGAACCCGCACCTCTCGCTTTCCGGGCAAGTGCGCTACCAGTTACGCTACCGGGGCACCATTTCATCCAACTCAGCTTTTCATGGTATTATATTACCAGTTTGGCTGCGCACGCATTCGCGTGCATGAGACGGGGCTGCAGCGGTAAAATCGGGCCCATCAGTATTTTTGTCTTGATTTTAGCTTTCTGCTCGGTACATCTTACTTACGCCGCAAACTCCGCCCACATCCGGGTGTGCCACGCCCAGCGTTCACATTCAACCTCTACTCCTACTTTCACCTCTGGCGTATTTTTTTCAGGTCTCTAAGTCATCTCGGAGCCGAATTATGAGGTCTTGTAAATGGCGTTATGAGTCACGAATTTCTGAGGCAGACCCCGCCCACTTTGGTGCATGGTTAGCCCAACAATGGCATTCAACCCTACTCCATACCTCAATACTTATGCACATTTTCCCCGGTCGCCGGAACTTCTAGGAACCGAGTTATGAGAGCGGTGGCAAACTCCGCCCACATCCGGGTGTGCCACGCCCAGCGTTCACATTCAACCTCTACTCCTACTTTCACCTCTGGCATATTTTTTTCAGGTCTCTAAGTCATCTCGGAGCCGAATTATGAGGTCTTGTAAATGGCGTTATGAGTCACGAATTTCTGAGGCAGACCCCGCCCACTTTGGTGCATGGTTAGCCCAACAATGGCATTCAACCCTACTCCATACCTCAATACTTATGCACATTTTCCCCGGTCGCCGGAACTTCTAGGAACCGAGTTATGAGAGCGGTGGCAAACTCCGCCCACATCCGGGTGTGCCACGCCCAGCGTTCACATTCAACCTCTACTCCTACTTTCACCTCTGGCGTATTTTTTTCAGGTCTCTAAGTCATCTCGGAGCCGAATTATGAGGTCTTGTAGGGGACGAAATCGAGCTACGTATCTTTGTGGCAAACCCCGCCCACTTTGGTGCGTGGGTCGCCCACTGATATCAGTCGGCTATCATCTCTTCCCCAACCTTTTTCTACTTTTCTCCCATCTCTGGAACTTATTGGAACCGAGTTATGAAGTACCGTGGCAAACCCCGCCCACTTTGGTGCATGCTCCGCCCGCCAACAACGGTTGACCCCTTTCCCTCTGCCAACCCTCATACGCTTTTTTCCCGGACTCCGGGACTCCTAGGAACCGAGTTATAAGCCTAATTGCAAACTCCGCCCACTTTGATGTAAGCCACGCCCATTCCCTGACATTTAGCTTCCCCTCCCCTCCTGACCTCTATCCGTTGTTTTCCGGTCTCTAAGTCATCTCGGAGCCGATTTATGAGCTCTTGTAGAAAATGCTGTCCGCTTCACGACACGCTCCGCCCATTGTGGGCGGGCCTCCGTTCACATCATGCGTGGTGGAAATACCTTAGGCATTGCTCCCCTGCACTAATTTCGTTTCTGGTCTGTAGGCTTCCTCTTAACCGAGTTATGAATATTTTCACTGAGCACCCATTTTCTAGAGAACGCCCCGCCCACCGAGGGTGGGTCTCCTCAGTTCAATCTGGCTTACCAACCCACACCTATGCCCACTTTTGTCCCGGTCTCGAGGCTGTTTTGTGACTGAATTTGAAATCATGGTCCTCAGTACCACTCATTTCGACGCACGCCACGCCCACTGTGGGCGGGGCTCCGCTTAGGTAATGTATGTTTTTTACTTCTCGAGATATGGTACACCCATCCCAAACTTGACCTGGACCCAGTAGGTTGTTGTCCGCTTAATACGGAATTTCGTGACAGACAGACAGACAGACAGACAGACTTAGCGCATTATATATAGTAGGGATATCAGAAAAGCTGAGTTGGAATGAAATGGTGCCCCGGTAGCGTAACTGGTAGCGCACTTGCCCGGAAAGCGAGAGGTGCGGGTTCTAGTCCCGCCTGGGGCGAAAGTTTTGTTCACAACCCAGCATTCTTGTGAAACTTTGCCGCGATTTTGGAAGCGTTGAGTGCTTTGTGTCGCAATATCAAAAACGCCACAATTGCGAACGATACACGATTCATTTCTTTGGAAAAAATGATTATAAGAGCCTGCAAAAGAAAAGAAATTTTAATTCAATGTACCTCAGCAATGGCCTGCTTGGAGCGAGCGAGCTTAAGCTCGTTGACTCCGTGAGTCTTGGGCTTTCCGTACGTCTGACCCTTGGTGACTGGGCGCTTGCGATTACCACGGCGGACACGGACACGGTAGATACAATATCCTGAATAAAAAATAATCACAGAGAAAGGATAAAAAGAGGTGATACATATGGTCATGGAATAATAGCAGATCCCGTCGGGGTTTCAATCACTCATTTAAGACCAACGAGCTAGCAAAACAGAGTGCAGGGAGGGCTTTCACTTGACATGAGTGACAAGCGGAATGCTTTAGATACTTCACAGCGTCTCGCCTCGTGGGCACCAGTCTCTACGTAATACGATTCGCGTCTACCGTATGAAAAATGGGTGTGCCCGTCCCACTTGTACTGAACCCAAACTAAATACATCACCCAGAAAGCGCGTGTTTTGGAAAGGGGAAGCTACGCAATACCTTCGGAGCGTGGAGCCCCTCTATTAGGAAATGCAAGTATTCAATTTGACGCATAAACAAAAAGGTAAGTTGCCCTGTGTCACGAAATCGATTTGGTGCTGGTTCTAGTATCTCCATGCATCAAAAATGATTTACAACTACGGCTGAACGCTCCGATAATGAATGCGAATGCGACATTAAAACATGATGACTTGACTGGAAAAATCGATACATTCAGCACAAAAGTCTTACCCTGTTTTGCTCGGTATCCCATACGGCGAGCTTTCTCAGGTCGAGTAGGACGGCTAACTCGGTGGACGGCGGAGAGCTGTCTGTACTGCCATGTACGAATACGGAGGATGTAGCGCATCACATCAGACTGCTTTTTGCGCCATATCTCCTGCATGTACTTATAGGCACCCATGTTCTGAAGAATTATCGTTATCAAGTGCTCGGATTTTTTTGAGGATCCGCTGCGTGAAACAAGCGCAAGACAACTACATCACAGTTGACAACAGTTCCTTCGAAAGAGATAACCAGCGAACATTCTGCTGACGGAGGAGAACAAGTTACGCCTGCACTACAGAGTAAAATTTCCAATGATCTGAGAGAGGGATCACACTAGCCAAAGTGATTAGGATAGAAATAATAGGCGCAATGTGCCTCGGGGGGGACCAGTCGCCGCGCGCGGCCGTGCGGCAACAGGAAATTCGTGAGCCAGGGGGAGTGTAGCCAATTCAGGGGGGTTGGGGGTGAGGGCAGTCACATGACATGCGTGAGAAGCTGGAATGTTCCGTGAGAAGCCGGAATGTTCGAATTTCCTGTTGCCGCACGGCCGCGCGCGGCGACTGGCCCCCCTCGAGTCACATAGCGCCCAATAGATAGACAAAAGACGAAGCTTCAACTAGGCACACATATTACTTGAGCAAAAAATCAACAAGTAAACAAAAATCGAATTGCAAGATGGTTATCTTTATTTTGGATCTCGTCTAGCAAAAGGAGGGGCATGAAGTGCGACACTTCAACGCTTTAAGTAGTTAATTTTTTTAGAGTAGGAAGCTCCGGGGTGGGTGTTAGGGCGGACGAAATGGTTCACGCACTCCAGAGACTTTCCCAGTGCAAGAATTGGAGCTTTTGAAAGCAGGAGTTGTCGCACCACGCTCCCCCTTTACTGGATGAGACTTTTATTCTCACGATCCAACTTGCTTCGAATTATAATGGCCCTATTGATTTAGTTCACACCTTATGAAACTCATCTCATTGAGGTGATTAGTTCCACAGGTTCTTTTCTAGAAAACCGACTCCAAATGATTCCAAAAAACGTCACCAGACTGGCAACAACAGGCTTCGTGTGGATATGAAACCGTAAGAACAAACCACACAACGCACAGAAGTCGAAACTGGTACATACACATGGCAGACGATGCCCTTAGAACAACACTGGCATATGAAAACATATTGGTATTACTTCAAACAACCAAAATCCACAGAAATTAAACGAAATTTAGGAAATGTAAAAGAAAGCAATGAAAGCAGCGCAACACTCGATGCTAAGAATCGACCCAGGACCCACATCGCCACATCAATCGCGTTCCTTCAAAGTGGATTGGAGCGCGTCAGGCATCACTTGAATTTCGTGACTAGTTCATTTTCTTTCTCGTCATTTGACGGCAAGCGATCAGTTGCAAATGCATACGAGTTCTGTAACGAGCCAGTGACTGCACATCTTTTTCCGGAATTCACACGCTTCTTTAAAGGGTTGTGAGAGCTCGGAGGAATTTGAAAATAATTACTTCAACGATATGGGGCCGTATGCTGAATGTTGGGGATGGGGAAAGGTTGGGGAGGTTCGTCGCAGGACCCACTTTGCAACGGTCGCACCTTTGATTTTGCAGCTTTGTTTCCATTCTTTTACTGTTCCTGATTGTATATTCGCTCGTCAATACCTTTCTTCATCCAAAAACAGCGATGAAAGAATGGAAACAAAGCTGCAAAATCAAAGGTGCGGCCGTTGCCCAGTGGGTCCTGCGACGAACCTCCCCAACCTTTCCCCATCCCCGTCCCCTCCCCAACATTCAGCATACGGACCCATGGTAAGGGGAGGAGGTTTTGTGTGTGTTCGAGCTGGCCACACTGAAAAACATAGTTCTCAAACATGGAGACGTTGGTGTATGGCTTTCCCTATGTCTGGATAAGTTTATTACCAGCGGACGGAATTATATCACTGTAGCACTGTTGAATGTTGCAGGGGGTCATCAAAAGCGATCCGAGTTAAGGAGGATCAGGATGAGCAATAGGGTAACAATTGTGCGAGGAAATCGGGAACGGAACATTGAACCCCTTCACCAATATTCTTCGTGGAAGGGCGGCTAAGGCTGGAAATAAGGGATTTATTCAACTTTCAGAAAGTTTACAGGCATTGAATGATGCTTATTCCACAGTCGAAAATTACTAGTGAAAACCGGGCCTCATCTGATGTTAAGATGGGAGTACGTGAATTAGTGAATCCAACTATGTTTATGTTGGCTCTTGCAGCACACGATC